CCTGAGCCTCAAGTATTTCCCTTATTTTACAGTGGCTTGGGCCATTGTAAACACAGTTTACAACTGTGTTTTCTGCATTTCAATGGCTGGAAGGTGTTGCCCTTAAGATTCTGAATTTCGGGCTGGGTTGTGGCTCAGTGGTAGAGCGCTTGCCTAGCATGTGCGAGGCACTGGGTTTGATCCTCAGCACCACGTAAGAATAAATAAAATAAGGTATTGTGTCCAACTACAACTAAAAAATATTAAAAAAAGATTCTGAATTTCTCTTTCCTTATACTAAATCCCTATCTCAATTTCACAAAATAAAATTATTCTCTTGAATATATCAATTTTTTTTCCTGGATGTTATATTTGTTCTAATGTTTTGCTTTTGGTATGTTTATAAACTGGACAATTTTGTCATATTGTACTATTTCTTTTCTTTCTTTTTTCTTTTTTTGTGCTGAGGATTGAACTAAGGGGAGCTTAAACACTAAGTTCATTCACATTCCCAGATCCGAAGCCCTCCTTATCTTTCTTTAATTTTGAGACAGGGTCTGGCTAAGTTGCTGAGGCTGTCCTTGAACTTGCCATCCTCCTGCCTCAGCATCTGGAGTTGCTGGCAGTACAGGCTTGAACAACTACATTGGCCTCAAACTGCAGAATTTCTTTCTTTCTTTTTCTTTTTTTTTTTTTTTTTAGTATTGGGGATTGAACTCAGGTGCACTTTACCACTGAGCCACATCCCCAGTCCTTTTAAAAATTTAATTATTATTATTATTATTATTTTTAAATTTTGAGACAGTCTCACAAAATTGCAGAACCTCTTGCTGTTGCTAAGACTGGCCTTGAACTTGTGGTACCCCTGCCTTAGCCTAGGGAGTCTCTTTGATTAAAAGTTTGCCACCAAGCCTAGCCAAACTGCACCATTTCTTAAGGAGAGGGATCATTCTCTTTTGAACTTCGGAAAAAGATCATGGTTTTACCTTTGCCACCTGAGCCTGATGATGTCAGACTGAGTGCTTCCTTGAGGAACAGATCAAGGATACAGTGACTCAGAGTTCCCGGGTTTTCCTTGTAACTTGCATTTCTAGTGTTGGGGAACTACCTTTTTGTATTTACTACAAATACACTAAGTATCCTAATTGTTAAGGGGTTTTCTAGGAGAGTTCATGCACTTTCACTTTTCCATCTGGGTCAAGTCAACAGTCCCGCATTAATAAAAATAAAAATAGCCTCAAAAAATCACTGTGGAATGAACGTAATCTGATCCAGGAGGGACACCTCTTCTTCTGATCCCCACCCCTCACCGCACCTTTTGGCTATTCCTCCCCAGGGCATGGCTCCATTCCCAATAAAAAGCTTCCTTTGGAATGCGGGACTTTACAATCCTGTAGGTGGACTTTCCCCTTCAGGCCCACACCTAGCTTCTGAAAGCTGGGGGCAGGGGAGGAACTAAGCTTCAGAGATCGCTCTGGATTGCTCACTGCGTCGAAGATTCCTCTTCAGACCTAAATAGGTACACAACAAATATTCGTTGAACAAATAAACGAGAGAAATGATTTAAAGCCCAGCAACAAAAACGAAGTCAGTCGTGTAAAACATATGTCCACTGGGACTGGCCAGCTTTAATATTTCTTAACCTTCACTCTTTTCTGCGAATTGAGACCAATATCCCTACTTCTTGGAAGCTAGATTTCAAGAAGGGTGGATTCCAACCTGGGGTTGAGCCCCCTTGCGTTTAGGACGAAGGTCATTCCAATACGTGTCAATGTACATTTCTGGTACCCATTCGTTCGGCAGCTATTCATCAAGCGCCTAATGCGTCTCTGTTGCAGGCGTTTGGGATGAAGCAGCCAGCAAAACCGAAGATCCTTGCCCGACAGAATGATGAAAATGATTTTTTTAGAATTATGTAAATTTATGGTGATAAATATTCAGAAAAAAAAAGAAGGCTGTCAGGCTGGAAAATGATAGTGGAGGTCAGGAGATAGGAAAGGAGAACCAAGGCTGGGGCTCAGGTCTGGATTGGGGAAAAGCGAGACGAACTGGGGTGGAGGGAGCTCGGATGTCGGAGGACAAGGGAGATATTTTCTGCAGAAAGTGACAAGAGAGTGTCCTGGCTTGTGCGCAGGCAGATGAAGGACAAAAAGGGCTAGGACCGAGATTCCCGTGGAGAAAGCGGGGGCAGGAGGCTCTTTTCCAACAGAGCCAAAGAGATGCTCTGCAGGGAGACGGCCGAGGCCCAGGTGGGGGACGGCCACTGGCGGCCAGCCACTACGCCCCGAAAATGGCCTCCGGTGCCCCTGGCCGCCCCGCCCCGGCGCTTCGCGGCCCGCCGGCCCACGTGACCCAGCCCGCCCCTCCCGCCTACCCCGCTCGCGACCCCGGGTCTGGGTCCCCACGGCGGCGGCCCCGCCCCCTGGGAGGCGCGGACCAACCGGAGGAGCGGAGGGGCGGGACGGGCGGTGACGGCCAATGGGGGTGGAGCTCTGGACGGGAGTAACAGGTTGGTGGGAGGGGGAAGGAGCGAGCGCGAGGCACGGAGGGGGAGGGCCGGAGCCGCGCGTGCAGCTCCGCCGGAGCCCGAGCGGAGCGCCAGCCCGGGAGCGCCGACCCTGGCCGGGGTGAGTGACCTGGGAGCTGGCAAGGGTACCTGGGAGGCAGACGGCTCCTCAGGTGAGCCCCGAGGGGCGGGGGTGCAGGCGAGCAGAGATTGCTACTTGCATCGCACAGGTGCCGAGTTGCAGAGGAGAGATGGGGAGGTCCGCTCGGGTGGCAGATCAAGGGTTGACCCCTGCTCTCAGGTGCTAGAGCAGGTGCCAGAGAAGGTGTCAGCGTTGGGCACCTGAAGCTGAGGCTATTCCCAGGGCATGAAAGCATTTCAGGGCCAGGAGATCTCTGGAGGTCAGGTGCCAGCTCTAGGGGCAGAATTTTTCTTGGAGACCGGGGTGACTGTGGGGTGAAAGAATTAGTCCCGGCTGGGCGAAGGGAACTGCTGCCTGAGGTTCAGAGACTTAAGGGGAGGGCAACAGCAGGTGCTGTTTTCCTGAGGGTCCTTTTCCGGATGGCCAGTCTGAGCTGGCCACAGACACCTCTCTGGGTTGGAGATGGCTCTGAGGTGCGGAATCTTTCTGTAACCATTCACCTACAGGTGAAGGCAGCTGCCAGCAGAAATATGGGAGGGGAGAACAAGAGGGCACCCCCACTCTCCTGGCTAGGTGTGAAACTATCTAAGGCTTTCCTTGCTTTCATGCCAGGGAGCATTTTTCCTTATTCTCCCGGAGAGAGAATGTGCTCTCCAAGAGAGGGATATGCAGAAGCATAGATCCATGGGTTTACAAAATACCTAGAAATCCTTATTTCTCATGAGAACTCTTTCCTCCAAGCACACGTAATTTCTTCTTTAATTCTAGATGGGGGCCACTGAGTGAGGTCTGGGAGCCAAATCTGTTTCCTTGATGTTTTCCTGGAAGCCTCGTCACTCCCTGAAACCCCTTGAGGCATCCCTGATCCCCGATCCTTGATGGCTGTCAGATTGGCAGTAGGCACTAGTGGTGCAGGAAATAGGCAGAACTCCCCAGGAGACCAAAAGAGGAGGGGAATTACACCTCCAAATCCCCAGGCCAGTTGAGAGGTGCTCACTGGGGCCCAGACAAGACTTCTAAGGCAGATTTCCTTGCCTGAGGCAGCTATGGAACCAGAGCCAACCTCAGCTTGGCCCCTTTGATGCCCTGCCTGAGGAAGGTTGTAATTGGGAAATAATTAGCAACTGCTGTTTGTAGATGGTCCGCATGCACGTGCCACAGCACCTCTTTTTTTTTTTTTATTGGGGGTATTTGGGAGTAGGGGTCTGGCTCTGGGGGCCTGCTAATCCAGAGATTTGTCTGACTCTAAGAGGATTCTGGCTTCCTAGATCGCTGCCTGCAGTTCCCAGGCTGGTCTGCATGCCATTACCCTTGTGGGAGGTGCGGAGGGGGTAGGGCTGCTTCTCTTCAGGCCAGGGAGGGGAGATCTTGGCTGGGGATGTGGTAAGGTAAGTGTGGGATCAGGAATGCAACTTTGGGAACTTGAGAGGGAGTGGTGAAGGGAGACAAAGTCTTCCTGTCACACACTGTTCTGTCACTCACCGGGTTCTTTGTGCATCTGTTTCTCCTGCCTCTTCCCTCCTGAACGGGTGCCTCCTCCTTGGGAGCCTTGGCTTTGGCATCCAAGCTGGACAGAGCCCTTCCCATGGTCTTGCCCTTCCTCCCGCCTCCTCTGGTATGGAATTTCTCTGGTCTGCCACCAGCTGCCCATGTAGTTTCCCTGGCCCTCCCCTTCCCCTTGCCTCTCAAACCAGTCCAGCCAGTTTGTAGGGGCCCAGTTCTTCATTGTGTTTTTTTCCCCACTGGCCAAGCAGCTCTAGCCTGGCTCTCAGGTTTCTGCCTTTTTCGGTGGACCTAGCCAGGAGTCCACTTGGGGAGAGGCTTCTATTTGGACCCATGGGGAACCTTGTTATAGAGATAAGAAAGAGATAAGAGAAGGGGAGCTGTCCTTTTCTATTTTGACTATTTACTTTATTTGTTACCATGCAGGGGCTTCTAATCTCTGCTCTTTTGATTCTCCTATTTTCTAAATATGCCAGTTATTTGGCATCTGGCATATCGCCTGGCCCTCTGTGTACCAGTTTGTCCTGTGTGTGTGTGTGTGTGTGCCTGCCCCCGCCACACACACACCCCGAAACCACCCCACCCCCACTTCCTGCTAGAAGTCCAGGGACCCTGTCACTCCTAGTTGGGAACCAGATGCCTATGGCTGGGCCAGAGGTGATGGAACTGGGGCAGGGCAGGCTAATGAGTAACTCAGGAGAAGCGGCTGTCGGCCCAGGTGCAGCGGGTCCTCCTCTCTGCAGGCAGGAATGGCAGAGGCAGACAGATGAAGCCGAACTAACTTGTGTCCTAGTCTCTTCCCAGAGTACAGTCGGTGAGAAGAGCCCTGGGCAGATGCCGGGGGAGGAGAAAGCAGGGTCGGGCATCTGGTGAGAGCACAGGCCCTGGGCTCCATGTGGCCTGGTGCCCAATCATTGTTTACCTGCCTCTGGGACTTACGCAAGGCCTTGGAGCTGCCCTGTTCCCTTGGCCCCGCCCTGCTGTCCTCTGTAACTGAAGGAGGGTAGGTTTCTGGTTTTCTGCGTTGAATCATTTAGAACCCTGCTGTCTGACCCACCCCAAAGATCCCTCAGCCCTCCTGGCCCTTGACCCACATGCCTTGGGACTAAAGGTGATTGAGACTGGGGAGTCATGGGATCTGGGGGAGTACTCGATACTACCTTTGCACAACTTGGCGTTCTCACCCAAGGGGCTGTGCACTTTGCCGGGCCTAGGTGGGAACTCTTTGACCTGGATCTGGAAGATCTGTAGACGTACTGACAGGACAGAGTTCTGTCATGCATAAATCATGTGACTTTTGAGAGTAGCAGTCCTGGCACATATGATTCTAAGATCATGACTGCATAGGGCCAGGACTTCAGACCAGGAAGAGGTCTTGTTAGTAGGGTAAGAGAGAAATGGCTGTGGGCTATCGCTGGACAATCTTCCTGCTGCTAGGCGACTCAGCCTTGGTTCAGGATACAACCTTCAACAAATATTTGTCCACATCTACCACGTGAGGCACTGGGCTCAGATGTTGATGGTCTTTGCCCTCTAGGAACTTATACTCTGGTGGGGGGGGGGGAGCTAGAAAACAATCACTCCAATGTAAACTGAGATGAACTCACCCGAGGGTTAACTGTAGAGCACATAATGTGGATCTGATCTGGTTTGTGGGAGGTAGTGGTCAGGGAAGGCTTCTCTGAGGATGTGACATCCTTCTGTGAACCAAGTAAAACCAAGAAGTTACAGTGGAAAGGAGGTCATTTATGTGAACAGTAGCATTTACTGTCAGATTTGTGACAGGGCCTTCATGTTTAATATATTATCATTTGCTCGCTCTGTTAAAGTGAAATCTATTAAGTGTAATAAAGTGCAAAAATTTTAAGAGCATAACTTGACAACTTTTTGCAATCGTATACACTGTGTAATTATTTATTGTCATTCTCACAGCTAATTACCTTGTGAAGTTTCATTATACCCATTTTATTGATGAGGAAACAGAGGCTCAGACAAATTGTGATTTGCGAAAGGTTATATACATCAAGTGAAGAGCAGAACTAGGATTTTCCAAGCCTGATCTCGACTCTACTGCAGTGTCTTTTCTACCAGATGAATGGTTTGGAGAACTACTATACCTCTCTGCTTTCTCAAACCTTTTAAGATTTTGCGGCAGAAATTTGTGTGGGGTGTCTCCTGGGGGAGAATGCATGGCTTTCACAGTTTTCTCAAATCTAGTCCCAACGCCCCCAAAATGAAGAACCATTCCCCCAGAAGGACCCCTCCCTCCCTGTTCCTTTCTCCTGAGGAGAGGGGCTGGGAATGCTAGAGACCCCCACCAGCCCTTTCTCACCTGGAGCTCTGCCTCTGCCTCTCTCCCTCTCCCTTCTTATCTTACCCTGGTTGCTGGTTTTCTAGCACTTCTACAATTCCTAAAAGGGATCTTGCCAAGTTTCCTTGGCCCAGAACTCAACAAGGAGGTTGCGTTGGGCATGTTTACTTTTCTGTCTGGCACATTCGAGGCTCCTCCTGGAGGTTGGGGCTGGGCTCTGGTACAGACTAGCAGAAGGGGTGGGGAAGCTGGATTTTTTTTCTTTCTTCTTCTTTTTTTTTTCTTGGAGTAGAACCTCTCCCCCAAGTTCCTGGAGCCAGAGCACACCTGAAACATTCCATCTGCTGACTCCAAGCTTGGAATGCGGACCAGGGAGCTAGTCTGTCGATAGCCTTGCCTCTGCCCTCGAGTGGGAAAAGCCTACCTATTGGGGGTGGGGAGTGTGTGTTTGGATTGGCCCACTTAAAAAACCTAATTTAAGTCTTTTCTTTTTCGTTTGGTGTTTGTTTGCTGGGGATCAAAACCAGGGCCTTACACATGCTGGACAAGCATTCTGGCACTAAGCTGTGTCCCCAGCTGTAGATCTTTTCTTGAATAGTTAATGTATCTACATGGTCTCAAAGGCAAAAGGAGTAGAGAGTCCATGCCTTTCTATTCTAGAGATTAGAAACACTCCCTTCTCCCATCCCTGTCCCCAGTTCTCATTCCCCTACCGCAGATGCGTCACTGCCATCAGTGTGAATATCTTTTCAGAAATGGGATGCCACATTTTGAGGTCATCCGTATTTTAAATGAGCTCTGGGAGAGGAGGCCCCCTTTCCTCCAGGGGGTGGAGGTTATCTGGTAGGCAGGCCTGGGATCTGCCTTTACTCAGAGGAGGACGGAGGCACTTAGTGTTACATGTGCACAGTGTGTTTGAAAATCAAGCAAAATCTTTAAACTCTTGACAAAGCCAGGCTCCCCAGGGCTGTATCAGAGGAAATAGATTCTTCTAGGTCAGTGAATTTCAAAGTGTGCTATCTGGAACAGCAGATAGTACCAGACAGTATCAGCCATCACCAGGGAGAATTTAGTTAGAAATGCACATTCTCAAGTCTCACCCCAGACCTACTGAATCAGAAACTGGGGGTGGGGACCCACATTCCAATGTTTCTGCTGCTCAGATAAAGTATGAGAACCACTGTGGTGTATACAAGGAACTGATAAGGCAACCAGTTTCCTTAAAGGTGGGCAGGTGGAGGTGTTTGGGTTTCTGTTGCAAGTTATTCAGCTAAAACTCTTTTCTTCATTTTCTAGGATCCCTCCTACCCATGAGCAGGCATCTGCCATGGCTGAGCCTCGGGGCCCTGTAGACCATGGAGTCCAGATCCGCTTTATCACAGAGCCAGAGGGGGGTGCAGAGATGGACACCATTCGTCGTGGAGTGCGACGCCCTACTAAGGATGCAAGAGCCAATACCTACGGGGTTGCCGTGCGCGTGCAGGGCATTGCTGGGCAGCCCTTTGTGGTGCTTAACAGTGGAGAGAAAGGAAGTGACTCCTTCGGGGTCCAGATCAAGGGGTCCGACAACCAAGGGGCCCCAGGAACTCTGAGCTCTGATTCGGAACTCCCTGAGAACCCCTACTCCCAGGTGAAGGGGTTTCCCGCCTCCTCGCAGGGCAGCACGTCTGATGAGGAGCCTGGGTCCTACTGGAATGGAAGACTACCCCGATCCCAGTCCCAGGCCTCCCTGGCAGGCCCTATCCCTATGGACTCGAGCAACAGGAGCAGCAGCTTGCTGGAACTGGCACCCAAAGAGACTTCCCCAGACAGCACCATCGACACTGCTCCCTTGTCTTCAGTGGACTCCCTCATCAACAAATTTGACAGTCAAGTTGGGGGCCAGACCCGGGGACGCACGGGCCGTCGTACTCGGACACTGCCCCATGAACAGCGCAAACGGAGCCAGAGCCTGGACAGCCGGCTCCCACAGGACCCCCTGGAAGAACGGGAGCGCCAGTCCCCCGACCACTGGACTCCTAGCGCAAAGTATGACAATCATGTGGGCAGCCTGAAACAGCCCTCCCAGAGCCCGAGCCCCGTGCGGGGCCTTAGCCATCCCCATCCTGCCCAGGACTGGGTCATTCAGAGTTTTGAGGAGCCACAGGAGAAAGCACGGGATCCCACCATGCTGCAGGTCAGACTCAGTCCCTCCCCACCTCTGCCCGCTCCCTCTCACACACCCTGGCTCACCAGCCCCAGGACTCGTCCTATGCTCTGCATCCCGAGTGGGTGATACTCACAAATATGAGGTAATTCTATGGGCAGAATTCTAAAGAAAGTGGAACTAACTCTGAAACCACTATTCACAAGCCAGGCATGTGTGCACACTGTTTTTTTTTTTTTGTACCAGGGATTGAATTCAGGGGTGCTTGACCATTGAGCCATATTCCCAGCCCCTTTTTATTTAGAGACAGGGTCTTGCTGAGTTGCTGAGGCTGACTTTGAACTCATGATCCCCCTGCCTCAGCCTCTTGAGCCTCTTGGATTACAGGCGTGCGCCACTGTGCCCGGCCGTAGTGCACACACTTGTAATCCCAGATCCTGGGCAGGAGGATCACAGATTTAACGCCAGGTTGGGCAACTTAGCGAGATCTTCAATATCTTAGCCATAGCCTGTCTCAAAATAAGAAAATAAAGGACTGGGGATGCAGCTTAGTGGCAGAGCACCCCTTGGTTCAATTCTGAGTACTGCTAAAGAAAAAAGTAAAGAAATCACTATTCACAAGCATGGAGAGTTACTTGTCATTGCCCCAGCCATTAACCAGGCCTCAGTTACCTGCAAATATTGATTGGCTAGGTCTACAGTTTTCATAAGACCGACTTGGAGAATATGAGCAGTTCCCTGGTGCTCTTGCCAAAATTCCACACCTTCTTTCTTTACCAAGAATGTTATGCCGAGGACTGGGGATGTAGCTCAGTGACAGGGCATTTGCCTCACATGTGTGCGGCACTGGGTTCAATTCTCAGCACAGCATACAAATAAATAAAATAAAGGTCCATCGACAACTCAAAAAATGTTAAAAAAAAAAAAAAGAATGTAATGCCGAGCCGGGCAGGGTGGCGTACACCTGTAATCCCAGCAGCTGAGGAGACTGAGGTAAGGATCGTGAGTTCAAGCCCAGCCTCAGCAACTTAGAGAGGCCCTAAGCAACTCAGTGAGATCCTGTCTCTAATAAAATATAAAAAAGGGCTGGGGATGTGGCTTGGTGGTTAAGTGCCCGTGGGTTCAATCCCTGGTACCAAAAAAAAAAAAAAAATTAAGGAAGTGGGGGAACAACTTTACTTTGAGACAAAGTTATGTTCACTCTAAAAGTAAATCATTCAGAAGCTCTAATACATCAACCACCGCTAGTGACAAATTACTGGTGACATAGCTCGTGGCTTCTTGAGATCTGCTTACTGAGGAAATAACAATGTAATGACAGTGTGTGTGTTGGGGGGTGTCCTGCCTGCACTACCCCGGGTCTATTGCTCGGCCTTATCATGCTTGAAGCTGCCCCCTCCACTTCATGGTGGCTCCATACACACCTCTGGCCTAATCTTCCTATTTTTTTTCTTCTTTCTCTCTCTCTCTCTCTCTCTTTTTTCAGTTCAAATCGACTCCGGACCTTCTCCGAGACCAGCAGGAGACGGCCCCACCAGGGAGTGTAGACCACGTGAAGGCCACCATCTATGGCATCCTCAAGGAGGGGTAGGCAGGGCCCACCGACACCGGAGACATACCCTTCCCTTCTTTTCCCTTCTCCTTCTTCATTCCCTCTTTCCTCTGCTCACTCTTGCTTCTATCCCTTTGCCTTCCAGAAGCTCAGAGAGTGAAGCCTCTGTTAGGAGGAAGGTTAGTTTGGTTCTGGAGCAGATGGCGCCTCTGGCGGTGAGTGGCCTTCCTCAGGCGGGAGCAAGGGTCCGGGTGAGGGCTGGGAGGTTTCCAGGGATCGGGGTCTGGATCAACTCCGCTCTCTCCTCCTTGCTTACCTCCAGCAGATGGTTCCTCCTGATTCGACTAAGACCATAGCAGGGCAGAGTGAAGTCACCCGGAAAGTGGAGGAGCTGCAGAAAAAACTGGAGGAAGAGGTGAAGGTGAGGGGGGTTGGAGATGCAGAGGGAGGCAGGGGGAAAGCCGGGGCCTGAAGGTGGACTGGGCGGCTCTTGAAGAGTGAGATGAGCGCTCAGGTGTCCCGTGAGGCGAGACAAGAGTGTGCACTAGAACCAGCAAGGACTCGGGTTCCCTGGACTCAGGAGGCCGAGTACATTAGGATCCAACTACTTCCCATTGCATTTTCTTTGGGAGTTCTCATCCTGGCTCTGCTATTTACTGGCTGTATATAGCTTGAAAAAATTACTAAAATTCTTTGCCTCTGTTCTTTTCATCATGTAATAATGACGGCCATACTAGTAGCTGTCACTGATTGAACATATATTTTTTTTTATACTAAGAATTGAAGCCAGTGGCTCTTTACCACTGAGATACATCTCCATCCCTTTTTATTTTGAGACAAGGCCTCACTAACTTGCTGAAGCTGGTCTCAAACTAGAGATCCTCCTGCCTCAGCCTCCAGAGTTGCTGGGATTACAGGCATGCACCCCCATGCCCAGCTTTTGAGTACAATTTTTGTAGCAGGTGCTGCCCTGGGTAATATATAGTCATCATAGAAACCTTGCAAAGTTAATTAAAGAAAGCCTTTCTGAGGCAAGCACTTTACCACTGAGCCATAGTTCCAGCCCATCTAGACCCTTTTCTGATGAGAAAACTTAAGATCAGAGAGGTTAAGTAAGTTATCTGTGATAGAAGTTGCAGAGAAGAAACAAAAAATTCAAGTCTCATTCTAAAAAAAACTATGTATCCTTTTTAATTTTGTAGTACTAAAGATTGAACCCAGGGGCTGGGGATGTGGCTCAAGCGGTAATGCGCTCGCCCGGCATGCGTGGGACACTGGGTTCGATCCTCAGCACCACATAAAAATAAAATAAAGATGTTGTGTCCACCAAAAACTAAAAATAAATATTAAAAAATTCCCGCCCTCCTCTCTCTCTTTAAAAAAAAAAAAAAAAGATTGAACCCAGAGGTGGTCTACCTCTGAGCTACATTTAAAATTTTTTTAAAAAAATTTTTTTGTGGGGATTTAACCAAGGGGTGCTTAACCACTGAGCCACATCCCAACCCTTGTTGTTTCTTATTTTGAGACAGGGTCTCTCTAAGTTGCCTAGGACCTCACTTAAGTTGCCTAGGATTAGGATAGCCTGGAACTCGAGATCCTCCCATCTCAGCCTCCTCGGTAGCTAGGATTACAGGCATGTGCCACTGCATCCAGGTTTCCGTTTCTGCCCCTTTTTATAATACTGCTTCCATCTTTCATAGTATTGCCTTGTTTGTGCTCAGTGGGTGTTGGACTGTGATCTCCTTGTTTTCTAGAAAGCAACGCAGTGGACTGTAGCGTCGAAGTCAATCGGTTCTAATTTTGGTACCATTGTCTTGTTGAAACTGACCTTGGACCAGTCCTTTTTTTTCCTTTTTGTGGGGTTGGGGATTGAACCCAGGGATGCATTCAACCACTGAGCTATCCCCTCAGCCTCTTGGATGAATTCTTTATGTGCTCTAAGCCTCTGTTTCCTTAAATGTAAAATGGGAATAATAATAGTACTATTATTTATCATTTAGTTATTTGTTGCCTTATAACAAATTATCCTCAGACTTAACAGCTTAAAACAAGAATTTCTCAGGGTCTGATGACCAAAAATCTAGGACCTGCTGGACTGAGTCATTCTCACTCGGGGTCTCCCAGTGGAGCTTTTAACTGTGGCCGTTGTCGTTAGCAGACTTGAGTAAGGCTGAAGGATCCGCTTCTAAAATGACTTTCTCAAATGGCTGTGGGTTGGGACCTCAATTTTTGGCTCTATGGCTTTATAAAATTGCTTGGGTGCTCTCACAATATGGCAGCCACCTTCCCTCAGAATGAGTGATCCAAGGAGGAAGCCCCCATGCCTTTTTATGACCCAATCTCAAACTTACACACCACTTCCTCATTTTCCTATTCACAAGAAGGGAGCCACTAAACGCAGCCCATCCTCAAGGGGAGCAGAATTAGGCTTCACGTTTTGAACAGAACATCACAATCTCTGGATGTGTTCTACACCGTCCCTGGTCCCCAGGCTTGTCATGAGAACTCAGTGCAGGTGACACGGAAGGCCCCTGGTTCCGTGCCTGTCGTGCAGTGAGTGTCCGGTGCATGATAGTCATTCCCATCGTTCTGGGTCTTTCTGAGAGTCTTCATCCCTTTCCCAGAAGCGACAGAAGCTGGAGCCGTCCCGGGTTAGACTGGAGCGGCAGCTGGAGGAGAAGGCGGAGGAGTGTGACCGGCTGCAGGACCTGCTGGAGAGGAAGAAGGGGGACGCCCAGCAGAGCACCAAGGAGTGAGTGCGGCGATGGCACGTGGGGGGCGTTAGAGGCCCCCCTCCCAGGTCCAAGGGAACAGAGAGGATCTTCAGAAGCTGAAGGGGGGCGGTTCACCCAGGACCTTCTCTTCACTTTCTCTAGTAATGGAGTTAGTGTGGACTCAGACTCAGGCCACCTGGTGGCCTCTGTGCCTCAGGTGCTTAATCTGCAAACTGAGCTTCCCTGTCGTGCCTGCCTCACGGGGTTGATTCAGGTGTTCTCCCAGCGACGTTGCGGGACAGGCACTGTCTTAGCTCCCGGGGTATGTCAGTCAGCCATGCAGAGAAGCACCCTCTTCTTCAGAAGCTTAGTTTCTCGAGAAAGGGAACCGACAGGAAACCAGCATCGTCTGGAACTAAATTGGTAACACACGAGAAGATGAGTAGAGCAGGCTCAGCAGATCAGGAAGGTCAGGTGTTCGGGGGGCAGACTGCTGTATTGAGTAAGGTGGTCGGGAGAGCCTTGGTTAAGACTTGAACAGGGAACCAGCCATGGTGGCCCACACCTATAATCCCAGCTACCTGGGGGGCTGGGCAAGAGAATTGCAGTTTTGAGGTCAATCTGGATAATTTAGGACACCCTGTCTCGAAATAAATAAAAAGGGGTGGGAATATACACAGCAAAGGAATTAAGAATGTAGCTCGGGGCTGGGGATGTGGCTCAAGCGGTAGCGCGCTCGCCTGGCATGCGTGCGGCTCGGGTTCGATCCTCAGCACCACATACCAACAAAGATGTTGTGTCCACCGAGAACTAAAAAATAAATATTAAAAAAAAAAAAAAAAGAATGTAGCTCAGTGGTAGAGTGTCCGCCTCCCACGCGTGAGGCCCTGGGTTCTATCCTCAGCACCATATAAGATAAAATTTTAAAAAAAAAAGAATGTGAAGAGAGAACCTGCAGAATGGGAGAAAGCCTTTGCCAGCTATTCCCCTGACAGAAGATTAATATCCAGAATATATAAAGAACTCAAAAAACCGAATAACCCAATTAGTAAATGAGCAGATGAAGTAAACAGACACTGCTCAAAGGAAGAAATGCAAAAGGCCAATAAATATATGAAAAAAGTTCAACGTTGTTAGCAGTTAGGGAAATGAAAAGCAAAACTTCGCTGAGATTTCATCTCACTCCAGTTAGTTGGGCAGCTGTCAAGAATACAAACAGGGCTGGGGTTGTGGCTCAGTGGTAGAGTGCTCGCCTGGTATGTGTGAGGCCCTGGGTTCGACCCTCAGCACCACATAAAAATAAATAAGTAAAATAAAGGTATTGTGTCCAACTACAACTAAAAAATAAATATTAAAAAAAAAAAGAATAGAAACAGTAGCCAGGTGGGGTGGTGCATGCCTGTAATCCCTGCAACTAAGGAGGCTGAGGCATGAGGATTGCACATTTGAGGCCAGTCTTAGCAACTTGGTGAGACCCCATCTCAAAATAAAAGATAAAAAGGGCTGGGATGTAGCTCAGTGGTTAAGTGCCCCTGCATCCCTGGTACCAAAAAAAAGAAAAAAAAAAGTAAGGAATATAAACAATAATAAAATGCTAGAGAGAATGTGTAGAAAAAGGAACACTTTTACACTATTGTTGGCACTGTAAATTAGACAACCAATACAGAAATCAGTAGGAGGTTCCTCAAGACCCGGATGGAATCACCATAGGACCCAGCTCTCCCGCTCCTTGGTATTTGTCTTAAAGAATCAGTCATACTGCAGTGGTATGTGCAGACCTGTGTTTACTGCAGCATAATTCACAACAGCCAAACTATGGAACTGGCCTAGATGTCCTTAAGTGGATGAATGAATAAAGAAAAATGCGGTATACATACTCAATGGAGTTCTATTTAGCCATAAAGAAAGATGAGATTATGTCATTCTCAGAAAAATGGTGGAACTTGAGAACCCAATAAGCCAAACTCAGAAAGTCGAGGGCCATATGTTTTCTTTCATATGTGAGAGCTAAAGAGGAAAAAGGGAAAGAAAAGTGAAGGGGACCGGGGGAGGGAGGCAGGGAGGGAATGGGGAGTATCCCCAGTATCACTGGGGAGTGATACTGGCCAAAATACATTGTTAAATTATGTGCAAGTATGAATATGTAACAGTAAAACCCATTATGTATACTATAATGCGCCAATTTTAAAAAGTGGGAAAAAAATAAAAGGGTTGGGGATACAGCTCAGTGGTAGGGCACTCCTGGGTTCAATCCCCAGCACTGAAAAAAACAAAATAGATGCTGGGCGCGGTGGCGCACGCCTATAGTCCTAGTGGCTCAGGAGGCCGAGACAGGAGGATCGCAAGTTCAAAGCCAGCCTCAGCAACAAAGGGGAGGCACTAAGCAACTCAGTGAGACCCTGTCTGTAAATGAAATACCAAATAGGGCTGTGGATGTGGCCCAGTGGTCGAGTGCCCCCGAGTTCAATCCCCAGTGTCAAAAATAAGTAAATAAATAAAACAAAATAGAACCCAAACAAACAAAAGATTTGAATACATACTTAAAGGGGGTTTAAGGGGCTGGGGTTGTGGCTGAGCGGTAGAGCGCTCGCCTAGCACGTGCGAGGCCCTGGGTTTGATCCTCAGAGCTACATAAAAATAAATGAACAAAATAAAGGTATTTTGTACAACTGAAAAATAAATATTTAAAAAAGGGGGGTGGGTGAATGAATGAATGAATATGCAGTATTTAGAAAACTGCCTGACACCTGGTGTTCAATGGTGTCATCTATTATTAGGCTCCAGAACATGAAGCTGCTCCTGGACCAGGGTGACAGGTTACGGCACGGACTGGAGACCCAGGTGATGGAGCTGCAGAACAAGCTGAAGCAGGGTCAGGATTCTGAACCTGCCAAGGAGGTGCTGCTGAAGGTAGGGAGTGGGATTATGTGCCCAATGTGGTTCCTCTTACCTGGAGCAGGCTCCAGTCTGCCCAGTCATGGTTTTCCCAAAGTGCGGAGTAGATGGCTTGTTTCAGGTACTCCTGAGTGTGCGTGCAGGCAGACTCAGAGGTGGGACTGGCCCTCAGCCCAGAATAACAGGTTCCCTTTATCCTAACGAGGCATCTTGGTGGGCAGGGAAAACCTGGGTACATATCTAGTACAAGGTGCTCAATAAATGGTTTTTCTTTTTTTAATATTTTTAAGTCGTAGATGGACACAATACCTTTACTTATTTATTTTTGTGTGGTGCTGAGGATCGAACCCAGGGCCTCACATTTGCTAGGCAAGTGCTCTGCCGCTGAGCCACAGCCCTCAATAAATGCCTCTTGACTGAATGAACGAATTCGTAAACAGAGGATCCTAACGCGTCACCCCTGTGCTCTTCTCTTCCCTTTCCCCAGGAATTGTTAGAGACCCGGGAGCTTCTGGAAGAGGTCTTAGAGGGGAAACAGCGGGTGGAGGAGCAGCTGAGGCTGCGGGAACGGGAGCTGACGGCCCTGAAGGGGGCCCTGAAGGAAGAGGTGGCCTCGCGTGACCAGGAGGTGGAGCAGGTCCGCCAGCAGTACCAGCGAGACACGGAGCAGCTTCGCAGGAGCATGCAAGATGCCACCCAGGCACGTGACCAGGGCAGGGGCTGGGAGGCAGGACACCGCCCGGGAGTGGGTCTGTTTGGGGGTCTTGCATTTTTGGACTCTTCATGGTTTAAACAGGGCCTCTCCCTAAAGGACATGTGTGAGATGTGGTCAGAACCCGGGCCAGGAAACCTAGAGAGACATGGGGAGGGGGAGCAGGTCTGACTCACCGTGAGGATGTGTGGCCAGAGGGCCGCCGGGAAGTAACGGGGGAGGCTTCCTGTAGATGACAGAGAAGAGGAGGTGACCTGGGGGGAGAGAACCTTCTGCTAGCATTGTGCTAGGTACCACCGGGATGTTGGGGTGCAGCTGGCTTGGTGCCCTCTGGGTCTCAGCTTCCCCCTCTACACTGCATTTTGCCTTGAAGTCAGCCTCCTGGCACCCACCTTTCCCCTTACCTAGGACCACGCAGTGTTGGAGGCCGAGAGGCAGAAGATGTCAGCCCTGGTACGGGGTCTGCAGAGGGAACTGGAGGAGACCTCAGAGGAGACCGAACACTGGCAGAGCATGTTCCAGAAGAACAAGGAGGAGCTTAGAGCCACCAAGCAGGAGTGAGAACCTTGCCCTTGTTCCAGGAATACTTTTCTGTGACTCTTGTCCCCACTGCCTTTCTCCCCGGGCTGCACTTGACTCTGCCATCTCCCAAATGCATGTCCACCATGTCCACCTTCCTCTCTCTCTCGAGAGTGGGTACTCGGTGTAGTGGCCTCCAGGAAGGGGGTTCCACTGTCCAACACACCTCTCCCAGACGTGAGGTCTGACCCTGTTCCCTTTCCCCTTTATTTTACCTTGGCTGGGCTCAGACTCCTGCAGCTGCGGATGGAGAAGGAGGAGATGGAAGAGGAGCTTGGGGAGAAGGTGGAGGTCTTGCAGAGGGAAGTGGAGCATGCTCGAGCCAGTACCAGAGATAATCTCCAACTTGAGGAGCTCAAGAAGGTATGTGGGAGCTGGGGTGCAGAAGAGCCGTTGGACACCTCGGCTATCCACAGGACTTCCTGCAGGGCTCCCTCTCCTGTGCTTGTCTTCAGGCCTCCTCCTGCCAGATTGTGTCCTCACTGTGTAGAGAAAGGGCTCGCAGCAGCCAGGTCGGGGTGTAGCCAGAGGCTGCTGGCTGCCCCCCAAGAGACTTCATGGTCAGCAGCATTCAGGTGGATTTGGAAAACTCCAGGGCCCTTTTTACAGGCTCAAAAACGTGATTTGGTCAGCATAGCAAAAGTCGCTGTCTTTCAGGGGGGATTCATTAACTACGTGATGAAACAAATGTTTACAGTTAGAAGGCCGTTTATTAATTCCTAATGAGAAATATCATCCCATGGTTGAGTGCGTTCATTGGCGTGGGCAGCTGACCTACAGGGGAAGCCAAATTGTAATCTGAAGGCTGTTCAGAGAGTACACAGTCAGGTCGTGGGGAGCTAAGGGGTACTGGTGTTCAAGGTCTCCATCTCTCCAGTCTCCAAGGCACAGCCTTGCTGGTGAGGCAGTAACACTTAAAAGTTCATGGTAAAGTTTCCTCTTTGTCCTGTATTTTTTTAAAGTTAATCCTTTTTTTTTTTAAATCATGCATGGATAATATTTCATAGAAGAGTCACAAATAATAAGGTCATAAAACTGAAGTGAACACAAATAATTTCTTCATATTCTTGGTGTTTCATTTATAAGGAGGCAATAATTATTTTTGGATGACTTAGATAACTTAGTTTCCTATAATTAATGAAAATACTTTCTTCTGGGCTGGGGATGTGGCTCAAGCGGTAGCGCGCTCGCCTGGCATGCGTGCGGCCCGGGTTCGATCCTCAGTACCACATACAAACAAAGATGTTGTGTCTGCCAAAAACTAAAAAATAAATATTAAAAAGAAAATACTTTCTTCCATTTATGGCCTCCTAAAGATTCTTTTAGCTCTTGTGCTTCATTGATCCACAGTCCTGGATATGTAGTAGATGCTCAGTTAACAAGTATTAGTTAATCCATGCTTGTTTATTACAACTCTACTAAAAAACTGCCTAGGTAGAATTAAAACAACTATATTTTTAAATGAAGAAAGAAATTGCTATAAATTATTATTTTGCAAGAATAAGAACCTAAGATTATGCAAAATATTTGGTGGAGAAAAACATTAAAAAAAAATGCTAGTTGGGCATGGCAGCACATGCCTGCAAACTAAGTGACTTAGGAGGCTGAGGCAGGAGGGTCACAAGTTTGAGGCCAGCCTCAGCAACTTACCAGATCCTATCTGAAAATAAAAGATAGAACAGGCTAGGATGTGAGATGTGATTTAATGGCAGGGTGCTCCCCTAGATCCAATCCCTAGTACCACCCCCCAAAAATAGAATCCATAAAAAATGTTAGCCAAAAATACCTTGATGAGTATTATGTCGTTATGTAATTTAAAATTGTTTTCCCAGGTAGCTGGGTGTGGTGGTGCGCACCTGTAATCCTGGTACTCAGGAGGCTGAGGAAGGAGGATTTAAGTAAGCAAGCAATTTAAAAATTAAGTAAGTTTACTTACGTAATTGCCAGCCTGGAAAGTTAGGGAGACCTTGTCTCAAAATAAAAAAATCAAAAGGGCTGTGGGTGTAGTCAGAGGTAGAAAGCCCCTGGGTTCACTCTCTAGTAACAAAAAGAAGAGAAATTTTATTTTTTTCTCACAAAAGCTTCCCAAAGAATGGTGAAGTTAGAAATACTCTTAAATACTTATTACTTGTTTTGAAGTTAACAACTATCAAGGATAGTCTGAAATCTCTTCACTACATTAGCTGACAGTGAACCTGGACAGTTTTCTCAACAATCTTTTTTTTTTCTTTCTTTATATCAGGGATTGAACCTGGGGGTACTTCACCACTAATCCACATCCCCAGCACTTTTTATTTTTTTATTTTGAGACAGGGTCTCATTAAGTTGCTGAGGCTGGCCTTGAACTCGAGATCCTCCTGTCTTAGCCTCCCAAGTTGCTGGAATTACAAGTGTGACCGCCATGCCTGGCCACCTCTCAACAATCTTAGTCAATTTTTTATTTGGGTAAAACCGAAAAAGCAATAACTAGTGTTTAATTATCTCATATAGTAAGTGTATTTTATCAAATATTTAGTAAATAAACAAAACATACATTGGGAAAACAGACTAAACAAGTCTAACAGAACTTTCAGTGTGCTGTTTTTCTTTTTCTTCATAATTAGTCCTTTAGTGTCTTACCTTGAAGATTCACCACGTTACGTGGTCCTTCAGCCTAATTATGGTTATTTTTGAATTGTATGAGTAACTAATAGCTAAAGAATTCATATTTTAATCTTCCTTTAAAAAGAAATTAGAGATGTCCTAATATTTATAGCATAACATTTTTGGTTTTCACTATTTTATAGATGACCAATCTTGTTTTGTCCATCAGCTAACCCACTCTCCCCCTGCATAATTTTTTAAATGGAGTTATATTTTACATACCGTGAAGTTCCTCCTTTTAAAGTGTACAGTGACTTTTACTGTGATCACAGAGTTGTGAGACCGCCACCACTGTCTAGGTACAGCACAAGGCCCTCTGTTCCTTAGTAGTCATTCTCTCCACCCCCTGGCCGCCACTGAGCCGCTGTCCGTCTGGTTTTGCCTATTCTGGTTATTTCATATAAGCACAATCCTACAACGTGGCCTTTTGTTTCTTTCACTGACATGTTTTCAAAATTCTTCCATGTGGTAGCAAATGTCTTCATCCCTTTTTTATGGATGAAGAAGATTCTACTCTAGGAATATGCCATATTTTGTCCATTGATCAACTGATGGACACTTGGGTCGTTTCTGTTTGACCTATGTATGTATAATGACTAATGCTGCTATGAACATCATGTACCAGCTTTTATGCAAACTATACATTTTTCAGTTCTTTTGGGTATATACTGAAGAGTGGGGTTTCTGGGCCTTATAGTCAGTGTGTGTTTTTTTTTTTGTGTGTGTGGTACTAGGGGTTGAACCCAAGGCCTTATTCATGCGAGGGAGGTGCTCTACCACTGAGCTACATCCCCATTCCTTTTCTTTTATTTCGAAACAGAGTCTCAATAAGTTGCCCACGCTGGCCTTGAATTTGTGATCCCCCTGCCTCAGCCTCCCGAGGAGCTGAGATTACAGGCGTGCGCTACTGCACCTGAGGATATTCAACTTTTTGCAAAACTGCCTAACTGCTTTCCAAAGTGGCCACATCATTTTTTTAAAAAATATTCTTTCCTGTAAAATGTGTGAGAGTTTCTCTATTTTTCCATCTTCTAGAACCTTAGTCTGGCTCTTCGTTCCTTCAAAAATCCCCTTCCCTTCTAGGAGCTTCGCTGGGCCCAGGATGAGCTCCAGGAGCTGCGAGCGCAGCGGCAGAACCAGGAGGCGGCTGGGCGGCACCACGACCAGGAGCTGGCGAAGCAGCTGGCGGTCCTGAGGGTCGAGGCCGACCGAGTCCGAGAGCTGGAACAGCAGAACGTCCAGCTGCAGAAGACCGTGCAGCAACTGACACGGGACTGTGAAGAGGCTTCCAAGGCAAGGGGAGTGGGCGCCGGGCTTGGAGGTGGAGCTGAGGGTCTGGAGGGCTGCAGAGTGCCCTGCTCTGCGGGACCCTGGACCTGAGGACCCACCGCGTCTGGGCAGGGCTCGGATTCCCAGGGAGCCCTGCCTGGGACCCCGCCTCCGTGCTCCTGGGTCCCCTGGGTGTGCGGGCTCCTGGCCGAGCCCCGAGGTCTGAGCCGCTGCTCCCCCTGCCCGCAGGCCAAGGTGGCGGCGGAGGCCGAGACCGCGGTGCTGGGGCAGCGGCGGGCAGCCGTGGAGACCTCGCTGCGGGAGACCCAGGAGCAGAACGACGAATTCCGCAGGCGCATCCTGGGTCTGGAGCAGCAGCTGAAGGAAGCCCACGGCCTGGCCGAGGGTGGGGAGGCGGTGGAGGCGCGGCTCAGGGACCGGGTGCAGCGCCTGGAGGTTAGTGGCTCCTCCCGACCTGTCCCTCAGATCTGGATAACCCTCGCTTGCCCCCAGCCGTCTGGTGTGGCCTCTTCTGGTTATTTCATAGAGCAGTTTTACTTGTGGTGCCATTCTGTTTTGCCTTCCCGAATCTTCTGGTTGCCTGGTTCGTGTCCTGACATGTACTTTGGGAATGTTTCAGGCCGGGCTCCGGTATTTTCACCTCTGATCTCCCCCCTTTGCCTGCTCTCTGTGTCTTGATTTCTTTGCCGGTTCTTGGAAGCCAGTTTTTATGGCCCACCATTGTCATAACCACCTGCCTCCCCTCCCTCCCATCCGCCCACATCCAGATGACCTGAACCCAAGCTCTGCCCCTTCCCAGCCCAAACCAGTCACTGTCCCCTCTTCCAGGCAGAGAAACTCCGGCTCCAGGAGGCTCTGAATGAAGTTCAGGAGGAGGAGGGGAGCTTGGTAGCAGCCAAGCGGGCTTTGGAGGTCCGGCTGGAGGAGGCCCAGAGAGGGCTGGCCCGCCTGGGGCAGGAGCAGCAAGCCCTGAGCCGGGCCCTGGAGGAGGAGGGGAAGCAGCGGGAGGTACTGCGGAGGAGCAAGGCAGAACTGGAGGAGCAAAAGCGTTTGCTGGACAGAACTGTGGACAGACTCAACAAGGAGGTGGGCCCTGGGTGTTCTGGGCCCTCAGAAAGAGGCCCAGCTTATACAGAAGCTTGCCTAGGGGTGGGCTGGGGTGAGGCAGAATGTGGGGCATCTGCCTGCTTCAGAGATACCTCAGGTGTCGCTGGCTCCCCCTCTGTTTTCTCCTGCCCCCCAACAACCTGCTCTTCATAGTCTTCATTCTTGGGGGCTGTTTCCTGGAATTCTGCTTTAGAAGTCTATAAGACCCAAACTCAAGAATCTTCCTGAATAGAGTTTTAAACTGACGGAGGGAAAGGAGAGAGGGAGGCAGGGAAATGAATTGCTTTTTGCTGATAAGGTTCTTCTCGCAATTTCTTGCTTTACAATACAAGACCAACACCTCATGTATCAGTTCTAAAGTACACGTTGTACCCTTTCTGAAATTGGACTGTGTCTTATAATTGGAATAGGTATGTTACAGTTCAGTTGGCAGATTCTTTCTTAGTGTCACACCTTACGAGTATTGTCACCTTGGGTTTGCTGAAACGTGGTCACTGGAGGTTCACTTTGTTTCACACACTGAGGAAAGTTCTTTGTGTAATTAGTATCATTCTCTGACAACTCTGCAATGTAGGTACTATTGTTATCCTCTTTTATAGATAGGAACAGAGCCAGAAAGGATAGGTACCATGCCACTGGTCACTAGTGGTAGAGCCAGAGCTTAAACCCCAAACCTGTGTATACAACCACTATCCATGCTCGGGCCCGAGGCCTGGAAAGAGCAAGAGAGGGCCGCCTTGGCAGGAACAAGGCTCTAGGCAGAGTCTTGTGAGCGGGGCCTGGGGAGGGGACAGAGTCTCTCCTGACAAGGTGCAGGGCTGAAAACTCTTTTCGGTACATTTTAGCTGGAACAGATTGGGGATGACTCCAAGCAAGCCCTGAAGCAGCTCCAGGCCCAGTTGGAGGACTACAAGGAAAAGGCCCGCCGGGAAGTGGCAGATGCCCAGCGCCAGGCGAAGGACTGGGCCAGTGAGGCTGAGAAGACCTCTGGGGGGCTGAGCCGGCTCCAGGATGAGGTGGGAGCCTGAATGGCAGGCAGATGGGAATGTCGGTCTGATGTCCTTAGGTTTGAAGGTCACCGCCTCTGAAATGACCCTGTGGCCTGGGTTCCTGGGGCTGAGGTTCAGCTGTAAACACTTGCAATGAATGACACATGAAAGTGGGGGATGGTAGAGGGAGTTTCCTGTCCTAGGTACAGACGGCAGGCAGGGAATGCATGGTCTCAAGAGCAGTGGTTTTTAAGCTATGCTGCACATTGGTCACCTGGGGAGATTTTTAAAAATCTCAATGCTCAAACTGTATCCCATACTACTTAAATCAGGATCAGTATTTTTAAAAACTCCTTAGGCTGCCAGGTGCAATGGCATTTACCTATAGATCCAGCTACTTGGGAGTCGAGGTAGGAAAATCCCTTGATCCCAGAAGTTTGAGACCAACCTAGACTGTAACACAAACACACACACACACACACACACACACACACATCCCTACACCCCTACCTTCAAAGACCTCAAGTGATTCTAATTTGTATACAGAATTTTGAAACAACAATGAAAATGAACTAAAATTCAGTCTGCTTTTTATCATCATGTTGTGCTGGCAATTCTAAAGAATGTCACTGAGGGGCTGGGGCTCTGGCTCAGTGGTAGAGCGCCTGCCTTGCATGGGGGAGGCCCTGGGTTCGATCCTCAGCACCACATAAAAATAAATAAAGATACTGTGTCCATCTACAACTTAAAAAATAGTAAAAAAAAAATAAATAAAAGAATGTCACTGATTTCTTCCCTCAAGGGCAGACTGATCTCACCCCTCAGTTCCCACCTCCATGTTACACTGAACTCTTCCATCTTCCCCTTTGGCAGATCCAGAGGCTGCGGCAGGCCCTGCAGGCCTCCCAGGCTGAGCGGGATACTGCGCTACTGGATAAAGAACTTCTGGTCCAGCGGCTGCAGGGCCTGGAGCAAGAGGCAGAGAACAAGAAACGCTCCCAGGATGACAGGATCAGGCAACTGAAAAACCTTGAGGTGAGGACCTCGGGGGGTTGTCCTTTGGGGGAGAGTGCAAGGAGGGGGTTCTGGGCCCTGGCACAGGTGGCCTTCTGTGGGGAAAGGAACCAGGGTACTCTAAGCCTCTTTCTGTACTGGCACCCCAAGTGGATGGGTTTTGTTGGGCTGCAGGATTTTAAGCAGTCTTCAACTAAATTCCAATGCTTAGAAATTTATAGGTGTCGTATAAGAATTTAGATTTCTGGCTTCTTTAAAAAATGTAACACTGAGCTTCTAGACCTGAGTTTTGCAAAGCACAGTTGACTGGATCTGAGCAGTGCATCCCCCCTTTAGGGTGAAGAGTGGTCTCCAATCTGCTATACTTGAGAACAGTAATAACAGCAGTAGCAGCCGCAGCAAACATACATTGTGCCGTGTGCCAGGCACTTAAGCCTCATTTCATTTTCAGGATAACCCTGAGCTAGATAGTCTCGCTTTCTCCGTTTTACAGATGAGGAATACTGAGACCCAGTATGATCTTCAAACCCGACAGACTAGTCCCAAGTCCGTGTTCTTAGCCTGCCTGGCTTAAATTTGCTCCCCCAATATGTACTCTGGTGCTTTGGTTTCTGAGTCTCTGTTGGCCTTGGTACTTGGGTTTCTATCTCAGTTTTCCCATAAGGGAAAAAGGGGTCTCCCATGAGGAATGGATTCTGGGGTTTGCCTTCCTGCCATGACCACAGTCTGCTGCCCATGCCACGTGTGGTCAGAAGAGGGCGCTAGGTCCACGATGGCTCTGGGCAGGGGCAAGGATCTGAAGGCTCCTGGGCATAGGCAAAGGGAAAGGCAGTGGAGGCTGGAGTTTGACAGGGCCCTGGTCTGAGCTTGGCATTCCGTGTCCAGCATTCGGGGAAGAACTGACCTTTTGCCCTTCTGCCTTAGGAGAAAGCCTCTCGCCTGGAAGCCGAGTTAGACGAGGAGAAGAACACTGTGGAGCTGCTGTCAGACCGCGTGAACCGTGGCCGGGACCAGGTGATTCCCACTGTGTCTGCTCCCGACTATGTGACCTCTGGGCCTTCTCAGCAACCATTCTACCCTACGTCTTCTGTGATCCGGAGACTTCTGGCTGCAGGCTTGAGTGTGGCTAGGTCTACTTCAGGGTCTCTTCTACTTTAGGAGGAGTCGGCAGGTTTCCTCAAGTGGAAGGAAGCCAGGAATTTGAGTGGAGGAGAGTCCTGCTGGCCTGGGCTACTCCGACCTGACTCAGGGCTGCTGCAGTTAGGAAGGGCTGCTAGTTCCTGCTGGGACTAACGAAGCTCTGCCTCAGTCTCTGGCTCCTCTCATTGGGATAGACTGTGATGACTTAGTTGCTTGGGAATTTTGGGGTTCACAGGCCATCCTCCAGGGGTGTGCCCCACCAGGGCTCTGTCCTACTTGGCTCAGCTTACTGCCTCCTTCTCTGCCCTCCCCAGTGCTAGTCCCTGTCTCCCATCCCCCAGGTGGATCAGCTGAGGGCAGAGCTCATGCAGGAGAGGTCTGCTCGGCAGGACTTGGAGTGCGACAAGATCTCCCTGGAGAGACAGGTAAAGGAGGGAGGGTTTGGGAGATAGACCTGGGGGTGGGTAGAATGACCAAGTGGAGTACAGACTGACCCAGGGGGGCTTCCTGTCCTCAGAACAAGGACTTGAAGACCCGATTGACCAACTTAGAAGGCTTCCAGAAGCCCAGTGCCAGTTTCTCTCAGCTTGAGTCCCAAAATCAGATGTTGCAGGAGCGGCTCCAAGCTGAAGAGAGGTAACACCAGCCTGTCCTTCTTGCTCCTTCCTTCCTCCCTCTGTCTGGGACTCCCCCATCTTCCACCTCAGGCCTGGCCAACTTTTCTCCTGATACAGAGCAGAAGGAGTTGCAGAAATTCTGAGATGTCAGTGTCCTCTATTCCCCCAGTTCTTTGGATCTTCCCTAAGCCCTCCTTGTTCTGTTGATGGGGCTCATGATGGAGAGAAGTCCTTGGAGGAAGAAAAGAACCAAGCAAGGTTCTCTTAGAAATGGTGATAGCTGTAGATACCCCTCTACCTTCCTCTCCCAGGGAGAAGACTGTTCTGCAGTCTACCAACCGGAAACTGGAAAGGAGAGTTAAAGAGTTGTCTATCCAAATTGATGATGAGCGGCAGCATGTCAATGACCAGAAAGACCAGGTAAGGACATGGACCCTGAGGCCAAACCATCGGCAAATATGTTATGTGTTTGCTTGAAGGATAAAGGGGGCCTCCATCTCCTGTAAGGTTTTCGAACCTAAACTTTCCTTGTGTAAGGACAGAGAGATTACATTGAAAGGAGAGAGTAGAGCAGTCATAGTTAGCATGTGTATTGAATGCTGGTTTCTCTTGCTAAGTATTATGCATGCATTAATTCATTTAATCCCAGGGCAACTTCTGAGGCTAGAGAATTTGCCTATGATTGCACTTTTTCAGAGGCAATTATCCCTTGTCAAGATTGTTACAGGGGGGCTGGGATTGTGGCTCAGTGGTAGAGCACTTGCCTCCTATATATAAGGTACTGGGTTCAATCCTCAGCGCCACATAAAAATAAATAAATAAATAAAGGTATTGTGTCCATCTACAACTAAAAACATATTTAAAAAAAGATTGTTCTAGGGGCTGGAGTTGTGGCTCAGTGGTAGAGCACTTGCTTAGCATGTGGGAGTCTCTGGGTTCGATTCTTAGCACTACATATAAATAAATGAATAAAATAAAGGTTCATCAGTATCTAAAAAAAAAGATTGTTACAGAGGAGATTCTAGGCCATGGTAGCAGGTGCCTTTCTAATGTGGGACTTGGTATCCTGTCCAGTTAAGCCTGAGGGTGAAGGCTCTGAAGAGGCAGGTGGATGAAGCAGAAGAAGAGATTGAGCGACTGGATGGCCTGAGGAAGAAAGCACAGCGTGAGCTAGAGGAACAGCATGAGGTCAATGAACAGCTCCAGGCCCGGATCAAATCCCTGGAGAAAGACGCCTGGTATGAGCTGCCCTTCTGCTCCTAGCTCCATGGGGGCAGCACAGAATCTCCAAAATGGGGGATTCAGCCTCCTCCCCTTCCTTACCGGTATTCTTTCTGACTCAGGCGCAAAACTTCCCGTTCAGCGGCTGAGTCGACCCTCAAACACGAGGGACTGAGCTCAGATGAGGAATTTGACGGTGTCTACGACCCCTCATCCATTGCATCACTGCTCACGGAGAGCAACCTGCAAACCAGCTCCTGTTAACTCGTGGTCTTCAAGGGTCCAGAAACAGGCTCAAGGCCTACCCCAGCCAGCCCCGCTCTGCCCTGCTCTGCCCTGCTCTGCCCTGCCGGCCTTGGATTCATCTTTCCTGTGGGTGACCCACTTACTCAGACCTAAGACAGGGATGGGTCCAAGTGATGGTGATAAAAAAAGACATCAGAATGAGCTGATGGATGAACTTGGCCTTTCCATTGGAGAAGTGGATATTTTAGGCCTGTAAAGTCCTTCTCTTAGATGCTGACTCTTCCTTCATCTCTCTATAGTGGAAGGATAGTCAGCATACAGACTGAGAGAGACTGAGAAGGGAAGGAAAGGGTAGAAATTGCCATGTATGAAGCTTTGTTTCTTTAGCCATTAGCCCTATGGCTCAGGGAAATACCCTATGCTATTCTGCAACCTAGTTTTCTCCCACTCTGGAGCAGGGTGAGGGGAACATTATGGGTAATGAGCACGCAGGCGTGACTCTACCCACTTCTCAAATGCTTCTCTTTGCACAGTCGTGGGGCCCATGTGGTTGTCCCATCCATTTCCAATTCCTATATTTTTTTGTCTTCAAGCCAATGGGTCCAGGGGACCCTTCAGCCTCTCCCCTTCCATCTTCACCCTTCTTACCTTGTTTCTTTCCTCTCAGTGCCTTAGCCATGGTGAGGAGATAAGTATGCTCTTCTTGCCTTTTATTCCTGTACACTCAGACCTCTCCCAAAACCATCCTTTTCCCATCTGGGACCCTCATCCTGCCCTGCTTCCTCAGTGACTGGTCAAAAGCTACTGGCTGCTCTACTGGTGAGCCCTGGGTAAGGGACTTTGGTAGGGCCATAATAAGGTGGTGGAGGCCTGGTTCTGCTCAGGGTTTCCATCCTCCTTTGTCTCCCTCCTCTGAGACTATGGTGGTTAGAAAGTGGTTGAACCTGGGAGCCCTAACAACTGTGTGTACAAGTTTAAAAGCAAAGGTCTCAGTTCCTGTGGCCTTCCTTGTGGTTTCTCTGACTAGGGATGTCCAACCTCAGTGGGGAACCAAGGGATCCTTATTTATTCAAGAACTGGGCCCTTATTTAGGGTTTCCCCTGGATTTAGAAGCTGACTCTTGGTACAGATCAGAAGATGTGATGGGTTTTATATTCCTCTTTTGGATTTTGGGGAGAGCCAGTCCCTGGTGGGGAGGCCGTAAGGGGGATGATTCACCTCTTATTTCCAAAGCAGGTTCTGTAGGGAGCCTTGTGAGCCTGTGGAAGAAGGCTGTTCTCACCAATGACTTGTAATTTCATGATTAAAAAAAATTCCTATATTCTGCAAATCAGACATTTTCTCCTAATCCAATCCAGCCTTGTTTTTATTTTTAAATTAAATATTAAGATTATATAGCTATATTGAAATCCTTGTCTTCTTTTTTTTTGTGGCTTATTTAGAGGTCTAAGTTTTACAAAGAAGTTGTTTTAACTCTACAGCTTAGCGGCCATGTTGTCTTTTACCAATGGTCATATGTACCTAGAAAACCTGGCAGTGTTTATAGCAGCATTCATATTCTCTCCTGTACAATCTTCTCAGAATAGCAAGGCCAGAAAATGTTTTCTTTGAGGTTTTATTCCATTGGTTCCCAGGGGTATCCCTAGCATTCACCTCCCAGGCAAAAAGATCCTCATTCATTACTAACTGGCATGGGAACTTACCTGGGAGGTGGAGAAGTTTCTGCCATCCCTGCCTTTGTGTTGGTTTGAAGAAGGAGCTGGCCATTCACCAGAGCCTATTGCCAGATGGGGAACTTCTCAAGTTTAAGAGTGGGTCAGATCTCCTGAATGATTCTGCCTACTGCCCATGTGGACGGGAGGCAAGTAGACCAGCCATCTGCTGAGAATAGCTGGGCTGGGAAGAAACTCCAGGGTCCTGCTGGGCCAACCCCCTGTCTTCTAAAAGCCTTCAAGATCCCAGCCTAGGCCTAGGTAGCAAATGCTATTGAAGAAGGTGAGGCTCATTCTTCTTCTAGAATACAAATTCCTTTTAAGGCAATGTGTCCCGCCTCTCCCCACCATATAAGGGTGGTTTTGGTTTAATAGCTTCTGCAAAACAAGCCCCACCCAGAGCCTGGCTGGCTTTGACTTTGGCCTGGGCATCTTGCCAGGGAAGGGCACCTGCCAGACTGGCTTAGGCTAGTCTGGGTGAGCTGGCCTTTGGTGCCTGCCCCGCCTTTTTTTTTTTTTTTTTTTTTTTTGAGACGGGGAGATACTGGGTATTGAACCCAGGGGCGCTTTACCACTGAGCTACATCCTCAGTTCTTTTTATTTTTATTTTGAGTCAGGGTCTTCCTAAATTGCAGAGGCTGGCCTAAAAACTTTCCATCCTCCGGCCTTAGCGTCCCGAGTCGCTGGGATTCCAGGCGTGCGCCACATTGCTGGGCGGTGCCTACCCTTCCACCTCTGGAAAGGTTTACTCAGCTCTCCCAAGCCTACAGGCTGGAATATCCAGGGAGAGGAGAAGGCGGTTGTGTGCAGGTTCCACGTCCTCATTCCCTATAGAGGGGCACATAGGGTGGTTTCCTCTGGCCGACCCTGATCTGGGGAATTGAAAGGAGACCGAAGAAGAATGTGGAGGTAAAACCACACATCCTAGACAGAACTGGGCAGTTGAGCAGCCTGAGGTCACTTCCAAGCCCCGCCTATATGTAAATCTGAGCGAGCGCCGGAGGGCGTGTCCTGGGACCGCCCACCTCGCTCTCTCGCTCGCCTATTGGCGAGCAGTGTTCTGGGGCGTGGCCTATCTTCAGCCCGCCCCTGACGCGTCTATATAAGGGGGTGATTCCGCGCGCGCCCGCCTGCCGGGAAAACGCTGGACGGCACCGAGGAGGGGTGATCCCTCGTGGCTGTCCCTGCGGGAAAACGATGAACGGGACGCGAAACTGGTGTACCCTGGTGGACGTGGACCCGGAGGGCCAGACTGCGGTAAGAAAAAGCTCCCAAACGCTCTCCCCACTTAGTATCCTCGGTTTCTAGTTCCGCCCCTCCCGTGCCCGGCTCCGAGTTCGCTGACATCACCTGGTGCTGGACTCGTGCGGTCAGCCCTTCGCGGAGCTTTTCTCTCTTTTCCTTTGACCTGCCTTGGGGCGGTGGCGCGGGAGGAAGACGTCGGAGTCTCGGGGGCCGGAGGTGCCCCTTTCTTTTGGGAGAACCCTGCGGCTTCTGCCCGGGACTGGGCGCGCGTGAGCCCTTGCTTGGGCCGCGGGTCCCAGTGCACATTACTCAGGCGTCCGGTGGGCAGCTAGATTGGATTGTGGGAGACAGAACTCAAGGGACCGGATTCCTGTCCCGCCTTGGACACTGTGTCCCGACAAGGCGGAGTAGGCTTTTCTGTGGGTCCTGGTGACCTCAGAGGCCTTTCAGAGAATTTTATGGTGCTCTGGATGATCAGTAACAGGATACAAGAAACAGGGGTGGAGGGTGAAATCCTGGAGTTTGGAATGGAATTACTCCGAGATTGGCTAGGGATTTTACCTTTCCCCTAAGAAGGATGGAGCATTCTACCTGGTGCTCACCTTTTTTCTTGAATTTCTCCTTTTTGCCCCTTGCAGTTCTCCTGCTCCCCTCCCCCAGTCGGTCAACTGATAAGCTTCCTGGGAAGGTTTGTTGGTTTTGCTTCTGTCTCCAGCCGCCAAGCCCAGGGCAAGTGGATGAAGGGATGCAGAACTTGGGCTGAGAAAGGAAGGGAAGCGAACCTCCAGAGGGTTTCTGGACTCGGTAAAGGCTGAAGAGATGGAGGTCGTTTTTCTAGTGCAAGCCAGTGTGCCCTGCTTCTCTCATTTTCTGGCTCTTAGTCCTTGCACATTTGTGCCATGACCCCCTCTGGCTGACCATATGTTTTTTCCCCTTCACAGGCAAAGGAGGATAATTTGTGGCTGAATATTTCTAGGCTCTGCTGGGGAACCTAACCTAGCATAAGTGTGTAATATTTCATCAATTTCTAAGCTGTTGTGGTGAGAGTGAAATGGAGGTCAAGGTGATGGCTAGTTTGATCCCCTCCCCCATCTGATTTCCTTACCTCTGCCTGTCTCAGCATGCCCTGGAGGTAGAGCTAACTCAGCTTCCCAACTGCTGCAGGATTGTGGCTCTTCTTTGTAGAGTATTAGTAGAATAGATGCTTATTTGAATTTTAGGGTACAGGTGATCTTTTAACTCTATTTGCAGTTCCCTTGCTATTTCTGTTTAGGCTTATGAATGTTTCCGCTGCTTTACAAATCTTGCTACTGTCCAACTTCTGTCCCCTACATCTCAGTCTTCTCCAGCTGTAGGATGCTGAAGAGATAGGAAAAAAAAAAAAATCCATCCCCCGTTGTGTCTAGCCCAAAGTCCTACTCCATCATCTTACTGTTTTGGAATGGTTGAGGCAGGGAAAAGGGTGTGAGATGAAGGATAGGGGGGGTGTTTCCTCTTCTTTTTGTTGCTGTAGAAAAGAGATCCAGAAAGAGGTCTAAAACTGTGACATTGGCAGCACTGAGAATGAATTGTCACCTCTGCTTTCCCTTGATGTTTTTTACTGCTTGTTTGGTGTGGCAGAAAGAACAGGTAGGAAAATAATGAGCAAGGAATTCAGACATAGATAACTAGAGATCTCTAAGAACAAGAGGAAGAGAAATTTCCTTTTATTCCTTTTTTCTAGGTTGAACTTGAGATTTATTTTACACCAAAGCTGGGAATGTAATAACCATTGGGTTTGATCTTGAAGACATTCCTGGGCTCTTAAGGAGGAGGAGGAGATGGTAAACAATCAGTCAGGAGATAGGCATTGTCCTGAATTCTTCTTCTCTGAGCCAGCCTGCAGATAGAATTTGTGGCTTTGGACAGTCCCTAGAAAATTGTCGTACAATCATACCATTGAATGAGTGCTCAGTATATATGAAAAGTGAATGAGTGAATAAATAAATGAACAGATGTTTTTTCTGGAGTTGGCATTGTAGGCAGTTGATTGGAGTGTTCTAGTGGAAATCAGGATCTTGGATCTTGGTGTTTGCTCATGAGCCAGATCATGTGCCTTAGTACCCCATATATGGAGATGGGAATATAGCTAATACACTTTCTGGATTGTTTCATTATAGACAGGCGTGTGCCACTGTGCTTGGCCCTTTTTATTTTTTGAGACAGGGTCTTGCTAAATTGCTGAGGCTGGCCTGGAACTTGCGATCCTCCTGCCTTAGCCCCCAAGGTTGCTGAGGTTACAGGTGTGTGCCAGTCCACCGGGCTGGATTATTTTTATTGTTAGATGCAGATGCAGCATGTACAAGAAGCCAGTGTTTTTCAAAACCGTAGATCTTAATCACTTAGTGGGTCTGAAGTCACCATAGTGGGGTAAAACCAGAATCAAAAAAGAAGTACGTTGTTAACACTCTGAGTTTTAGTAAGGATAGATTTTTTTGGCAAAACTTTGTTTCAGTTATAGCTAGATATGTACTTTTAACATATGCATGTTTATTTACTGAACCTTGATGTAACATTTATTTTTTAGGTCAAAAAAGTTTGCAAGGGGCTGGGGTTGTGGCTCAGTGCTACTAGAGTGCTCACCAAGCCTTCGTGAGGCACTGGGTTCAATCCTCGGCGCCACATAAAAACGAAATAAAGATATGTGTTCGCCAACAACTAAAAAATAAATATTTTTTTTAAAAGTTTGTAAGCCATTTTGGTAGGTTATATCAACATATAAAAGTACAAAGTAAGGCTCAAACTCATTTTTTTGGCGGGGGCGGTGGGTACCAGGGATTGAACTCAGGTGCACTCAACCATTAGCCATATCCCCAACCCTATTTTGTATTTTATTTAGAGACAGGGTCTCATTGAGTTGCTCACTGCCTCACTGTTGCTGAGGCTGGCTTTGAACTTGCGATTCTCTTGCCTCATCCTCTTGAGCCACTGAGCCCAGCTCAAACTCATTTTTATTAGACATTTCCTTTAACTTTCTTTGATAAAACAACAGAGAGTAACTCTAGCTAACTTAAACAGAAGAGGAATTTATTAGAAGGCAACGGGGCAGTGCACAGAATTTAAGGGAAAACTTAAGTCCAAATTGAGGAAGTGAGTTCTGGGGCCTCAGAAGGTGGAAGGAACTAAGGGAGATTTTCTACTTTTGGGTGAATTGGTTCCAACTGTTTTAGGTATTTTTATTTATTTATTTATTTTGTTTTTGCCATTCTGCCCAAGATTCCACGGAGAGGGTGCCAGGGAGAGGGTTCCTTGATTGACAGGCCCACAAGATTACTCAGTGAAGAAGTGAGATTCTTCAAAACAAAATCCGTGTTACCAGAGGAGAACAGAAGTTGTGGGAGAACAGAAGATGTCTGTGACATTTGACTTTAGCATGATGAACTATGATTCCCCCCCCATTTTTAA